GATGAGCGTGAAAAACCGAATCTAGAAATATATGTTTAAGCTAAAACAAAAAACTGCTGTAATTTTGAATTACCCGCACCTTATATATTCCATAAAAAGTAGTACGTCTCGAGTAACCAAATACTTTCTTATTAAGAGAACAATTTTAGACTTGAAATCTTGTTTAAAATATTTCATGAATCTAAAATGGTTTTTGATTCGTATAACTGAAGACAGACAGTTACTTGATATTTAAATTGTTCATAATTATTTTAAAAGTCAAACCATTTCTTCTTTACATTAACCGAAAGATTCTGTATTGAATACAATAATTCTTTTGTTTAAAGCAATTTTTCATTTTTATTGGTCTTATGAATACATGTTTCATAGAGAAAGCACTTCGATTACTTATTTTTGAAATATCAAATATTTTATTTTTCGTTTTCTTTTATAGGTTCTCAAAAAAAATTGAATGATAAGGAATTGAAATTTGGATAGCTTTGTATTGTATTACTATTCGATAGTGACATATGAAAGAAAAAGAATTTTGGAATACTGTCAATTATAATCTACTAAAAGTATACCATTTTACAGAAGAGTGACGAATTAAGCCAGTAAAATACATGTAAAATCCAGTGACTCAAAAAAAATTCCATTGAGAGATACAGAAACGGAGTATATTATTAGAGTGTGGCATATATTTGGTAATCTTTTGAACAATTAGCAGTCATTTTATTCACTAGTGGACATTGCATAAAGTGGGCATTTGTAGAATCTTTAACGACCATCTTTTTGTCTTGCATTATTGATTTAACAGTGTGCGATCGTACTGATAGAGATATGATATGACTATAGAAATACAACCGCTCATGAAATATTATTATCTAGGGTAACGATAGAGACTGTTTTTCAGTGGATCAAAAAAATATTTCAATGTTATTTTATACCATTCACTTTCTATACTCAAGATTTTCTCTCCAAATAATAGTTTTTTCACCATACAAAATGGAGTATTGTTGATGGATAGGGGCATGATGATTAAGTGTATTTTTATCTAGGTTGAAAAAGATAAAGTACGATGCATTTTGATGTTATATGCTGCCTAGATAGTATACTATTGTTTTAAAAGTATTATTAAAATCATGCATCGTCATTATCATTTCTCTTTTTTCTTTCTTTAGACAAAGATACTTTTTTTTCTTACTATGTGTTTCAGCATGAAAAGAACAACAAAAAAAATTACTATCACATGGTTTTCATCGTTGATCAACCTATTCAATGGGTTTACAAATATGATAATATGTTTTGACTTTGCTTAATCGAACAAAAAATAATAATCATCAGACGCTTATGTTTATAGTTGAGTCGCTTTTTTAACCCATAGTTATCGACAGAATACATTTGGATGAGTACCCAGGTTGTCCTAGTTCGTTAATCATACTAAGTGCCAAGCACAGAAAAAAGAAGAATTTTTTTTGAGTATTTCAATATTGTAGTATCCATTAATTTCATCAAATAAAATGTATAAATAGTAACAAAATGATCTCTTCAAGGTCGTTTAAAGACTATTAAAAAATATCATTCGAAAAAAGATCTTATAGAAAATACGAATTAGATCATAAGGAAGCCAACGTGTTAGCCTCTCATTTTTTGGTAAGTTACCTTTCTTAGCTGTTCAAATCGTATCTTTCATTAACAACGAAATTGTCACAATAAAGAACAAAACTTCTGCATTCTCAACTTTGAAAAAACAAGTGCATGCACTCTATTAGCTACCAATACATTTTTTTGCACTTTGCTTTTTTGTTTTTCTTTCGCCGTATCACTCGTATACAATACCAAACATCCTCTGGTTAATGCATGACTATGATAAAAATAGGTCAATCAATATCATGCTCGTAAACAATCTTCTTTCAATATAAATACAAAGCGATATGTATGTTTCTTTTCATTTATTGACTATACTTATTTCATTAACACTACTTGCTCGTGTTTACTTCGTTCATAATGCTGTGCACATGGATATTTTATCTTAGCGGAATTATTGCGGTGTTATTATTTTTTAAACCTTTCATTGACGAAGATATTTTAACATTAACAAAACATCATCGTATGGCAATATTTCATCGAATGCTTTCCTTTCGAAATAAAATCTTCCCATTTATACATCCTCTATCAATAAGAACGGATGCAGATTCAAAAGCATTAGTTGAATTAATTTCACTTTATCATTCAGAACTTGACTTAAGTGATGATTTCACCAATAATGATATTGAACAGTTTCGTTATCATTCAAAACAAATGTTAACTGGTTTATTTCCTGCAAAATCATCATCTTGTCTTATTCAACATCATACATTTCAATATAATACTAAACAAATAAATATGTATTCTATACAACATGAAAAAATAAATGATTGGAAATGTTCTAATCAACCATTAATTCTTTATTTTCATGGTGGTGGATTTGTTTTTGGTGATATTGATACATATTCTGGTTTTGAATGTCATCTATCAAAATCTCTTAATATGT